CGGAATTTATCTCATAATTATTGCATTCCGCGTCCTTCTCTTTGGATCCGAGCCGCTGTTCTATCAATACAGGGCTGGAAAGCGACATGGAGGGGCGGGAGGCTGCAAGGACGGGATAAAGATGAGGAAGAAGATCACGTCACGTGGATGTCATCGTTTTTTCAATTTAGCCATTAAAAGGGTGAAAAACTTACCTATATAAAACCATAATTTTGCCAGCTTTACTGTGAATATACTGAGATGAAATGCCCTGGGTACGTCCTAGATTTCATGCAGGCAGAAATGTGAATTGTATGCTACACAAGATTTCTGCAAAAAAACTAAATGAGTCATGGCTCGTTTTATTAAAATTTAATATGTATATGTACCTCCAAAATTTCAAAATTATGAGATTTAATTGTCAAAATAATAAAAGAATGTTTAGAACAAGATCAAAACTCGACCAGAACGTCTAAATTATTCTAATTGACAGTAGTGAGGCTAAAGCATGCAGCAGCATTCCTGAGCTCACTTTGGGATACTTGCTCGCTCGACGACTGTGTTGCATCCTTCAATGATGATTCCGAGCTGAAATAAATTTAAAATTTTTTTTTGTCAATTTCTCTTGTTTTAGATTAAACTAAAATAGATCAATTTAATACTAGCATTGATCAAAGTCATAATCATTCGCGAGCGCATACCTTGAATCACATATACCCTTAGTTTCGATATAAGATTGTCTATCATCAGCTGTAGTGTTAAAGTGCGTGTCCTCATAGTCTTGCGAAATTTCTCGTTCTTGTTGGATCTCATATGCATCCATTTGTGCTTGAAGTGTAATAGATTGGTTACAGTTCATATCACAGTAAGGATCATATCCCAACACGGGTCTGGTCATAGTGTTACTAGATTCAGCATAAAAACCAATATTTTCATTCGCAAAAAACTGATTATTCATCGCATAATTAGTCATTTCGTTTCCCGGTTGAAATGTCTGAGATACATCAGTATTTGAATACATACTGAACTCTAGATGTGTTGGAGACGAGTAGTATGAGGTGGATCCTGAAGGCTTGTTGAACTGTTGCTTGTAGATTTCTAGCTGCGAATAAACGTATCGAAGTTCTTCGAGTGCGTGATGTAACTGTAAACGCAATTGACATATGATGGTAGAACAACCGTAAACAGGAAATCTCTCGCGCATATCAGACTCGTAAATAATGGATTTCATTGCGTCCTCTTTCTGGTCCTTAGTCTCCAAGTTCCCCAGTATCTTTGTAATGTTAGACACACCGAAAAGCCGGTGCACATTCTGAAACATTTTGGATTGATTTGACGGGAAATAAGGTGCGAGAGGGCAATCCGATGAACACTTTCTCCTCTGATACTTGCAAGCAGCACATGCTGGGCTTGTACCACCCTTCACTGTCATGGTATAGTGAAGAATTATGCGTAAAATCCGAATAAAGAAATAATACAAGTAAATCATATGGATATAGAAGTGTGACACAGGGGGAGTCACTTATTTTTATTGTATTGTGATCAAGAAATACAAGAACGGGAACATATAGAGATGTATTCAGAGATAAAAGGTTGAGACACTTATTCTGATTCAACTTTGATCAAGAAATGAATATAAAGCTAGAGAAAAACTTGTTCTCAGCTTGAATGTGTACTCCACGTATATATAGAAATATATATCATATAGATCGTAATTAGAGTGTGTATCACACGTGCGAGTTTGTTGGGATCACACAGACCAAGTAAATATACTTTTAGTTGCAATTCTTTCGGGGTTTGTTTGAAGAATATCAACGTAAGTGGGAGTCCTAAGTAGATTTCATTCAATTTCTTAAGCAGATCAAAATCACCGGCATAACAGAACAGAGAGGTGTAAAGCACTTATTGGCCACTAATCATTCTGGTCTGTAGGGAATAATACGTTTCAAAAACCTTGACCGTTTCATAACTTCATCGGCGATAAGGTTGTACTACTCCCTCTTTTTATTTTTGAATTTTTGCAGAAAAAAGTGTTATCCTCTGCATATTTACATTTTCTAGTCCCCAAGTATAATAGTAATAATATAATATTTTTAATGTTATTTGTTCAGATAAAATTGTTATATATTCAAATGTTAATTGTGTGTGTATTGTGTAGAACTTGACGTGTGATTATTACAAATTATATTTTGTTTTGCTCTGAATTTTTATTTTGTTAACCATTCGCTCTTCTTCAATAAGGCAATTGGCTTTCTATTAGATGAATCCTAAAATGCAAATTTAAGACGCCTTACTAAACTCTACACAATCGTCACTCGCACGATGAGGATTGACGGACATGGTTGTGTAGGGCAAATATCCACTGCCCTAATGTCATGTCAATGGTGGTCTCTTTGCATGACCTATTTTTGTTAGACGTGTAAAGTGGGTTGTATAGCTAATTTTGTGTTGGGAGTAGAGTGTGATGTGTCTGAGTTTAGCAGTTAGCAAAATAATATTTTATGGAATGATCAGAGAATAATAAACAAGTGTGGTTATAGAAGGAAAATTTTTAATCAAATTACAAAATACATTATATAAAAGTAATTACTTGAAATCCTAAAAACATAACGTAGGTGTTTTGGTTAAAACGACATACGACTCGGAGGACATAAGACTTCTTGATCAACCCAAAAAGATGCTCATGCACCACCGTGCTTGTCCTTTTATCTTACATTAAAAAGAAAGAGGAGGTATGAAGTGTCAGAAAAAACGCAAGAAGTATCAAAATAAATAAAGGATTATGTCGTATTTCTTCATGTTAGATATTTTTTAAAAGTATATGAATTTTGTTTTACACATACACATAAAAATGTATGTGTAAAAGAATCTAATTTCTCTCTTCAGCTCTAAGTACCAAAATGAAAATTGAATCTAATACATGGTTTATCTCTTTTTATTTTCAAAAGTAATGCTCTATTTAAGAGAAATTTTAAAGCATTCTAGGAAGTTATATGGTTCAAAGATTGTGAAATTTATAGTCAACGAGAAAAAAAATAAAAAATAAAAAATCCAACATAGTTTATTACTTTATTTATCCAATATTCTTTATGAAATTCAATTAAGCAGGTGTTAGTTACTTTAATGATTCATTTCTAGAACAATTTATTTTTTAATAACTCGGAAATGGCAGTTTTTAGTGGAAATTGCCAAAAATTCTTGTGTTATTTTAAAAATAGCAAATTTTAAAATTTTTGCAATAATGACTGTTTTTGTAAAATTGAAGAAACTAAAGTAACGTTCATATCATATAAGCATAAAAAAATTTATTACTACACAAAGCAAACTATGAAACTGCTGAGTGAAGTTCATATCATTCAGTATCAATCCAACTGACATCAAAGTTAATAGTTTCTTTAAAAAAAAAAAAAA